AATCCACCTCCCAAACCCTAGCGTGGGCAGCCAGAACCATAAGCACAGAGCACATGCCCCATTGTGTTTATTGTGATTCTAGGGAGAGAAATTGTTTATGCAGTCCTGGATTCCCTTCACTGAGTTGTCTTTCTCTGGATTTATCATCAATCTCTTTCAAGTAACACTTTTCACCTTAAGTTTGCTATGGGAGAGGACAGAGGAAGAGTTGTTGTCATGGGACAGCCTGGGACTTTGTATGGCAGGCAGAAACACACTCCATGAAGATTTTTTTTTTTTTCCAGGGACCTCTTTCCTCTTTTCAGAGTGGCACAAGAAAATGCTCAGTTACCAAACACAAAAAAAGCTGTTCATGATGAAGACCGGCAGTACTAGCTCTGCAAGGCAAACCCATGAGAACCCAAAGACCTTCCTCAAGACATCAGCAGATGACCACCTGGCAGAAGGACATTTAGTATTATGCCTCACCTCCAAAACCACAGACAACTCGATGCCTTACACAACTCTTTCTATCCTTCCAACGAACCATTCATCACTGGAAGCAGGACAGCAGGCTGGCTAAGTGGCACAATAAGCAAATCCTGTCTCTGGAGAGGCGTGTGCTCTGTTCAGTTCCCAGCGCACATGCAGGTCTCCATCTGCACTCCTGCTGAGCCAGCCCTCCCCGGGTGGGTGCAGGGAAGGAAGCTTTGGCTGCATTTTCCCCCCCGGAGGCTGATGTGATATATTAGGTGGAGGTGACATTTGGGTCAAGTGAGCACCTGTTCTCCTGAGGCCTCGGGGAGCCTTACTAACATGGGAAGAATTTATTTTAACAGCTAGAAACTGGGGGAAGATTATCACCGTACATTCTCTCCCTGGGAGCTGTAAACTGCTGGAATTCACTTCTCCCCTTTGGGATGCTGCACTGAAGAGAGGAAGGGTCTCTCTACAAGGGCAGGAGGAAGGGCTTTGCTCTATAAAGCCAGGCTGTTAGCTTTCAGTGGGGATTAAGAATAATTGATGGATATCCTTCGTCTGCTAAGGATAACAACCAAACCTCTCCAGCATGGAAGCAAGATTACAAGGTTGAACTCATTTTATTTAATCCAGAGGATTTGCCTTTAAGACAATGGATAACTTCCATACAAATATCACTTGGAAAGCAACACCTAATGCCCCATGCATGTAAGAGTTCAGGATGTGATAATGCTATTAATCTGCTTTAACTTTTGGTTAGCCCTGAAGTAGTCAGGTAGTTAGACTAGATGTTCCCTGAAAGTCCCTTCCAGCCAAACCATTCTAGTAGTAGATTGAACATTCCACCTACTTTTGCAGCAGTGCAGCAGATAAAGTTACGGAGAAGTAGATTGTTACTTTTGGCAGATAGGCGAAAAAGGTGTGTTCCCTTGGCCTGCAGAGTCAGAGTCCCTACACCACTGCCTATCTCACCAGTTAGGAAAAGTATCCCACATTAAGTGGAAAGGTCTAGGAAAGTGTCTTACAGATCACCCTTCTGGCTTCCAGAGAAATCCATAGCTTGCACCTGTAGGTAGCTGATGGCATTTCATAGGTTCAGTTGCTGGCCTTGCCCAGCTTCCAGTGACCAGACATGCAGTGCACAGACCCAGCCTGGGGTGAGCACCCTTACAAGGGCCATGCCCAGCCCCTGGGAGTCCTGGAGTCTAGAAAAGAAACAAGAGCTTTGGGCAGGAAGATAAAAGCATTTGGTCACACCAAAACACTTTGCAGAAATTCTGATCTGCTTTGGAGGAAAAGGGAATAGGAGTAAAAGCATCAGAAGTGTGTGCGTGGGGGTGGAAGTGAACTTTTTTTCACTTCTCTAAAATGTTGATTTTTAACTCTGTTTTGAAGTGACTTTTGATGTTTTCTTTTATGTCATTGTCTTACTCAGACTAGTTTTAACAGTCAAAAAAGTTACTCTGGCCCCAAATGAACATCATTTTGTTGCTCTTTTTTTTTTTTTGAAAGAAACTTTTCCATCTTACAACAAAAAAGTTATTCACCAGCCCTGCTGGAATCACTGCTCTTCTCTCATTCTTAGTGCTGGTGCTATTGGCATCAATTCAGCAGATGAACAGAGGATTTCAGTCTTCTGAAGCTGCCAATCCTGCACCTTTCAAAAATGCCAACTGCACTTTCTATGATAGCAACGAATTACTGTGCTAGAGCCGACAGAGCCTGCAAGCCCATGGACAGAGCCAGAAGCAGAACCCAGGGTGAGAAGCCCGAGTGGCTCCATGGAAATCACTCATGTACATCTTGTTTTCTGCAGGGGTCAGTTGAATGCATTCCAGTCTCTCCTGATCCTTAGATGCAAGCAAAAGCCACAAAACCAGATCTTCTCCCTCAAGCCGAGAATTCATGATTTGGCCCAAGGACTTGCTAATCAGGAGATTGGCTCATCCAGCTGTTAGAGAAAGCTTGCAGCAGCACATCACTCCTCTCTGTGCTGAGACAAAGGCAGGGAGAGTGGGAGCAACATTTCTCAGTGTGACTTCTGCCAAATGATCCTCTGCCTTTCCTGCCAAATGTGCCCAGCTCAAAGGAATAACCCTTATACCACCTGCGGCTGCTGTTTCTTTAGCAGAGTGCCACTTTCTTGAAAATGGCTGGCTTCCACAGTGGAAAATAAAAGTCACTCCCAGTGGCAGACTCCTCCAGGGATAGGCACTGTACACAGGCGAGAAGACTGGATTGCTGGGATTCCCTCAACAGCCAGAGTCTCTCTCATATGGTCCTGATGGATCAGGAAAAAGCCCAGCACACCCTAAAGCATCTCCTCAAGGCCCTATAAACTCTCCCAATCCTGTGCAACCATCCCACTGATGCCAAGAAGGGATAGCTGTGGTAATTAAAAGGTAGCAAAGCTCCTCGTCTGCATGAATAGGGGACAAGTCAATACAGTTCAATCTGCAGCTGAATTGACTGCAATCAATTTCTCTTTCTGCCCGTCTAAGGCTGCAGCTGTAAAGCACTCGCAATCTGATCAATGATGACCTTGAGAGCAATGAAGAGAGACAAAGCCACACTGCAAACTGAGGGAGGGATGAGAGGAGCCTTGGGAGCATGCAGAAGTGAGAGGGAAGGCAAAGCTTGGTCCTCTTCTAGAGCAAAGCAGAGACACAATGTGGTCGCATGGTATCAGCCAGGGAAGCATGCTGCACATGGGCACGCATCCTGCTTCAGCAGCCCTCCAGAAAAAGCAGCAGTGTGATCACCCCACTGATGAGCTGCTTCACGAGAAAGGGGTTAACCAAGAGGTGGGATTGTTCTTGCCCAAGAGACCTTAGAAATAATCCTGAAACATTGCTATGGTCTCCCCTCTCTCCATCCTATACAAAGGAAATATTTAGAAGCAGGCAGTGCCAGGCACCCAGGGCAGCCTGGCATCTGCACCTGGCTTTAGGGTGAGCCTGCCCATCTCAGGCAGCTCCTGCAGAGTTGTCCAAAGAAGTAAAACAAGATCGTGTCTTAGCGCTTACTCTCACGCTCCTGACCAGCTCCAACCCAGCCCAATCACTGTAATGAATTAATAATTAATCAATCACTACCTGATTTCATTTTCAGCTTGCAAGATGAGAAAAAGAAATGAGATCTTAAAATAATACTCTGCAATGGGTTGTGTCTGTCTCTAGCAAATGCAATTTAACTGACTTAATGAAATGCTAATTGGTAGAAAATATATATAAAAAAACGTCCTGAATACTACTCTAATTAAATTTCCTTTTTCCAGATCTGCAAGGCAAAATGCTCAGTGCAGAAAGAACAGTAAACAGACGCAAAAGCTGTCCTTTTCAAGAGGGGGGTAAAATTACAAAGACCTGCACAAGGGTTCTTCGGGAATAACACCATTGTTGTTCCTAATTGTGTGCGCGCTGTATGTGCATGTGGCATAGCTAAATAAAAACGATGTTTATAAAGAACTGCCTGCTCCTTTGCTGATGGACTGGAGGCGCTGATCCGACAATTAAAGCATCGTCTCGGTAATAGCCATAAATAAACAGGCAGCATTAGAACAGCCTTGCAATAAAGATGATATTAAAAGCAGAACAAAATGAGAGGCAGCACTGAATAGGAAAGGGTGAAGTGTAAGTCACGTTGATCTGCTCTTTCTTGCAGATAAGAAAACAATGAGATGTCCTTCCCGTGGACCCCCAGCAGTCAGCAGAGCTGTTACAAAGAAAGTGAAGGACAGGTCTCTAACAAGGGGTGATGGGTTTGTGAATAGCTTTTAGTCAGAAAAGGGGAGGGAGGGAGGATTAAAGTGGACACAACAGGAGCTGATTAGAAGTTTTCCATGGAAACTTGCACAGGGAAATATTGATTTGTCAAAAATTCAGGTTCTTGCAGGCCAGGGTCAATTCTGACCCATCTTGTGCAATTCATAGAAGTTCTGAGTTGTCAGAAAGCCAAGTTCCCAATTTCAAACTGGAATAGCTTTTCATATAGAAACTATAGATCACTACCTTAAAATGAAAAAAAGTTTTAAGGGGAAAATAACATTCAGCAACAAAGATAAAATGCCAGCTGACCTAATACAGATATTGCCCCCTCCCTGCAAATTACTGACCTGGGAGCACTTCAAAGTCCTTGTCCTCTTTTGGAGAAAAGAGGTGGCAATGCTCTGAAAACTCCCCTGAGCTAGGCAAGCAGTGCTCTCTCCAGCACTGGGCATGCTTCAGCACAAGCTCATCCTCTGCAACTCTATTTGCAAGACATTGTCTACCTCTCTTGCATAGATAGTATCCTTTTTCCTCAGGCAAACACCATCACTACCAGTACCTTGAGTCTAGTAGCCCACAGGGACATAGGCTCCCCCTTGCTTCAGGCTCTATCTATAGCACTATCTTTAAACCCAGACTACCACTATAGCACCTTCCTAGAGGCTTTAAATGCCTTTGTAAATAGCCTTTCCAACTGAGTATCATTACCTTAATTAAAACCCCACCTCATCCTTCTGACTGGAAAGGTTCACATAATCGTTTTGTTTATCTTAATGATCTCATTAGCAGCAAGATTAGAAAGTCCTTCAGCACCTCTACCAGTGTGCTGAGCCCTGAATGCTCATCATGTGGGATGTCACACAGGTGCCTCCGTTCTGGTGGTGTGGGTACGTGGGCTAAAGTCTTGTGGGGAGGGATGCAGAGGTCTTTTCAACTACTGTACTATGTAAGCTGTGCTAATTTCTGGCTACTCCTTCCTTCAAGGGATAGGAACCTCTCAAACCTCCAAAGACTGGGCTTAGATGTGTACTGATGTCACACAAAGAGTAGGGAATGTGTAAGCTGTTTACACCTAGCTGAGGAATAGGTAGCAAGATAGCAATGGCTATATGCTAGGAGAAAATATTTTTCTCCATGTTTAGAGCTGGCATGGCTGTTCATTGACCACTGGTCTAAATAGAATAACTCATCTTTTCTCCTTGATTCCCCCAAGAGCTCCTTATGGTTTATGGAACACAAAGAATAACCACTTTGAATTTGCATCCTATTTACCTTTTTCATAATTTTTTATGACTATATTGTGCAAAACTAACCACTCCCTTCCTTTAACCATTGTCATCAGGCTCATGAAGTCCAGAAGTAGGTTTGTGCTTTGTATTAGAAAAACACAAAGAAAAACACAGTTGCTGTGTGTTAGATAATGTGATTGCTGGGGCAACAGGTTGTTCTAAAAAGGCCACTTCTTCTCCCAACTCCCACATTCTCCTTCCACTGCTGGAGATATTGAAACAGACAAATAAAAAGGGTACCTCAGCTTTTGGGACATACGCTGGTAAGAGCTGAAATGAGGCAGTGGCAAAGTCTGGCATGAGAGGGTTTGGGAGATGTGATCCTGGCTGCTTCTTCCTCCTTACTGAGTGTGCAGACACCAGCACTTCTTTTTCCTTACTGCCATGAAAATTGCCTTATTGAATTTTTAAATAAACTGTGCTGGTTGGAATATCTAAAGAGCCCTTGCACAGACCCTGACAGGTTGTTCTTTTTTTTTTTCTTTTTTTCTTTTTTTTTTTCCTAAATTAAAAATCTTGGCCTCAGGCAAAATGGAAATGTCTTCAGATTTGCAATCAGTGCTCATGTAACATATCTGAAATGCAGTTTATAAACTGGTGATTTGATGGGATTTGCTCCTGGGGGCTGTAATGAATGGATTTGCAGACTCTCTGAGCCCAGGATGACGTGACACAAATTGCTACCAATGACCATTACGAGGGACGAGGGGAGAATGGGGAAGAAAAGAGCAGCCCAGTTCTAATTGCTGAGTTACACACGGGAGTCACGATACCTTTTTCTTACAACCTCCTCCTTGTCTTTGTTTGACCCATCAAGATGTCCAGTCTGCCAGGGGAAACTCATTTAAGGAAAAAAAAAAGTGTTCTACAAAACATTTCAGATTCCCAAGTGGAAAACTTCAATGAGCTGCAAAACCAATGACCCACAGGCCCCATCCACCTGATGGAGATGGGAAATTAATAACAAAGTACCTGCTGTTAAAGGTTCAATGAGAATGGCCACAGAGAAGCTGCTGAGGAGAAAAAGGCTTGAACTTTGTCTTGAGACAGCTCTCCCTGCTCTCTGAGCTGGATCTTCTGATTAGCTAAGGCCAAAGGGAGATCTGGCATGGGGATGGCCTGAGGAAGGAGGGAAAATAGAATAAAATACCTCGCGTGCTCTTTCCTCTCTCAAGGCTACAACTCCTCTGGCCTTAGCTAAGGAGGAAATAGATGACCAAATCACCGATGTGCTTAGGTTAAATAGGCAGAGAACACAAGAGGAGGGAGCCAGGGAGGTAAGACTGGGGGCAAATGTTGCAGAGAACAGGGGAAGAGAGAACTATAGGGACACAGTCAGGCAGAGCTGTGTGGAGGAGAAGCTGATGACTGAGGTAATTTGCTGAGGCCTCATCCAGAGCATGCAAAGACAAATGATGCAGAGATTCATCAGTCATTGCTAACACAAGCTGGGAAAGCCATACATCATTGTACGGAGCTGGGTCATAGTCAGGAGTTTCAGGGACATCAGTTGGGATGGAGCCCCTTCAGTGCAGATCCCCCTCCTTTGCAACCCCCCACCAGACTCTGCTGTCTCCTCATCCTGGTGGCATCATCTCACCTGGAACAGACATGAAGAGAGCATTGATTGTCCCCAAGGGCCTCATAGGTCCCACATCCTGAGTGCCTGGGGACTGCATCATGCTACAGTGTGTTGCCCCTGAAATTCACACACAGATGTGTACCCAAAATACATAACTTTTTTTTTTTTCTCCACACAGCTAATCCAAAGGTATCTCTTCCGATCTCTCCTAGCCCACACTAGCCAACTTTCTTTCCTCGTCCCACCATATTATGATGAATTTTTAGATCACCTTTTGACACAGAGCAGCATCCAGCAGATTATGTGCAGAAAGAAAGCCTCACATTAGGAACTGGGAAGGGGAAAAGGACCAAGGAGGAGCTGACGGAACCTGCAAGTGTATCTGAGAGGCTTTACAGTCTGTGGGCATGGTCATTTCTACACAGTTCTGGACTGATGCTGCATCCCTGAGCTGTAGCAAAAGGAAGAACAGGCTTATGGGCAGATTGCACAATGCTCGTGAGGTCAAAAGTATACGAGCTCTGGGGGTATCAGTTCTAAGCTGTAGGGCAGGGAGAGGAATGTGCTGAGAGGCTGCATGCTGCTCTGGGAAAGGGGGCAGGTCGGTGCAGAGCTGGGCTCCATGGTTTGGGGCAGGCCTGGGAAACGTTGTTTTTGCTCTGCCTCTCCCCAAAAGCTGTAAATGATTCTTATCCATCATTATTATGTCACTGTGCATAGGGATGGCCTAAGGGCCCTGCAGAAGCCGGCGAGCTGATCCACAAAAAGGCGCCTGAAGATCAGCTGTTTTTTTCTGCACCGAAAAGGTGAGATCTGTAAATCGCCAGAGTCAGAAGCAGTTTGGAGTCTTGGTAACCTGAAACTGAAGTTTTCAGCATCCATCATTTTTCTAGCCGCTTCTCAGGATCTGTTTGATATGACTCTCTCAGGACTCTCTCAACCATAACTGAAAATTCATTGAAAAGCCTTTTTTTTTTTTTTTTTTTTTTTTTTTTTAAATGAAGATATGGCCAGTTTCAATATCTTCTTCACTCAAAAATTGGGGGGTAAAGGGTGAGGGGGTTGGAAACCCTCCAAAACCTATCTCCTGTGCAAAATAGAAAATGATAGTTTCTTAGTTTGAAATGTCTTTTCTCATTTTGTAGCTTAGCAAATGACGGGCTCGAAAGGCTTTTTGTTTTGTCAATACATGACAAAATGAAAGAGAAAGGTTGGTACCCTGTTAAAAGACCATGTTTCACTTGACTAAAGGCGATGGGGTTTATATGTTTATTTTACTTATTTTGACTTTGCAGAGGACCTGAAGTTTTGGCTTTGCAACTTGCTTCAGGATATGACCATTTTTCAAACTTACAAAAATGTTTGCAGACAGGTAACTCGGCACAGCTGTGCAACCCTTGACAACACGAGGCTCTCTCTGGTGTCTGCTATCTCCCCAGAGCATCGTGACAAACTGGTGAAAGGTCCTTCCAGGCTCTTTGCAACTGCCTCTCAAAGCCTCTTTTGCTCTGGTGAAGGCGTTTATGTGGTGACCACAGCAGGAGCACGCAAACGGCTTCATTTCACACCACCACACTGTATTTCAGGGTACTTCAATGTCTCCCTATGACATATCCTCAGGAAATGCTTTGTCTCTTGGTTGAATCCTGAAACAGGTTGTGTCTGATTGGCAGCCCAGCAGCAAAACTTCTTGTGACTCATTTAAGGATCACAGAAACAAAAGAATCTCTTTACCTCACAGTAAAAGTACCTTACAGCCCCATCTGGAGAACATCCCCTGTCCCTGTGCCTGCAGGACCATCCTGAAGTTCAACCCCATGAGATGTCAAATGGCAGACACCTCTCTGACCTCCAGAGGGGACCCAGCACCAGCCTGGATAGGAGGTTTTGGGAGAGAGGAGAGGTAAACAGATGTGAGGGAGAAAGCGTGCAACCGAAAGGGAGAGAGGCTGTTGGAAGGTTTCGTCATTCCCCTGTCTAGAAGATATTTCTCCATTGACTCTATTTAAAGTCAGCCCCAGGCTTGTGGGCTTACAGAGCTTTTAGCAGATGAAAGAACTCACTCATCAGGCAGAGTTTTCTTATGTGCCTTTTTTTTTTTTTTTTTTTTTTTTTTCCTCCCCAGCTCTCACCGGTCTGTTTTAAAGCCATTTCAGCAATTGTTGAAAACTGTCAGATGCCTTTGACAGATCAATACCTTACCGGGGAATTTGCATGACCTGTTCGCCAATCAAAATGCAAATTGGGGATACGTTTAAAGCACGAGCCCCCAATTTGTCTTCCAAACGCTGCTGGAAAGTCATGAAAGCAATTTAGCTGTTCCTGGGACTGCACCTTGTCTCCAGGCTCACTTCTGGCGATGCCGCTGTGCTATTTTTATTTTTTTTTTGCCAGGCGGGAATGTGCGTGTGTGTATGTGTGTGTGTGTATGCATGCTACAGGCGTTGTTTCCAAGTCGGGAATATAAATCTTCCTCTCGGACTGAGTGAGATTTATAGCTCTGCCACGGGGCTCCCGGCACCTCTCAGCCCCACACCTCTGCTTGGGACTGGGGCAGGAGCAGGGATGGGGCATGGGAACGGGGACGGCTCCGGCTTCCCTGCTCCTGCCTCGCTTCTCTTTTTTCCAGATGGCATTAGGGTTTGGAGACAGAGCAGAGGCTTGTGCCAACAGCTCACACTGCGGCAATAATGAGAGCCATTTAACGGAGGTTGAGTCAACAAAAACATGCTTCCCTCTCAACAAATAAATGCTTTTATTCCTCCTCCTTGTTTTTCGCGCTAGGAGCTTTGTTCTAAGTGAAATTGCCGGATCAACATCGCAAGAGATGAGAACATTTGATTTAGCTCTGAAATAGGTACGGGTGGTGTCCTGGTGGCACAGGCTGTTGTGTTGGTCCCTGTTCCCGTCCCTCAAGCTGGGCAAGCAAACCTGCCTTGGAGCATTCACACCTGATCAGCATTATCCATCCATCCCAGTCTGAGAACCCGGTCTAAGCCTGCTTATCTGGTTTTCTTTCTTTTTCTGGTAGTAAACAGGTTTTATTTTTCCCACTCCTTTAAAACTTTCTGAAAGAGGAGGCCTACTTTGTTTGAAAATAATTGATTTCCCCTGAAAATATCCCTCCCCCCATAATAACCTCACAGTTTTGATTTAAAGCCACCTGCAAAGGTGGTGTGAGGGGTTTTGTCTTTAATGAGAACTTGAGATGCTCTATGCAAGACAAAAAGCCTGACCAGCCCATTCTTCAGATGGAAACGACATGATTTCATGCAGACTCATGCATGAAAATTTACACATATTCCTTTAAAACTCATTTGGAAACAAAAGGCTCTGTCAGCTCTATCTACCCATGGAGCTATCTGTTGCTGACAGTCATACTGAACCCACTGGCATCTCATTATGAATCACTTACCCCACAGGCCCAGACCTGGGAACTGCAGATTCTGCTGTATGGGACATTTCCTGGCATTACTCAAAGCAGGACAGTTATTTTGGAAATGGACTAAGTTCATTCCAAAGGAAATTCTTTCACACCTACCAGATCTAGTTAAGAAAATGAAAGAGGTAAACCTTTACTGCAAGATTATCTGGGGCAATTTTTAGATGTCCCTCCTCTCCAAATTATTATTTTTTGTGCTCCTCTCTCTCCTTGAAGGTCTGGATTCTCCCTCTCCCTGCTGTCTGCCTCTCATCTGGCTCACCGAGGCAGCCAGATGGTGTAATTTGCAGGTACCTCCACAGCACTTACTTGTCTGACATGCCCGAACTGATTGAAACATGCACAGAAACATTTGAAACCTCATTGAAAGGGTCTGGATAAAGTCCTGGAATGTGATAGATCTGGGAGACAGACCAGGCACATTCAGCCACCCCAGAGACTGCACGGCACAAAAATCCAGGGGAAAGAGTTTGTGCATGCACATCTGTGGATGGTGACATTGCATGGGGGGGATTATTGTAGACCTTTAGGTGACTATTTTCCAGTAAATAAATACAGTATGGTTGCTCAGAGCGTCTCTCTGCATCTGTTCTAGTATGTGTATAGGACTTAGCCCAATTTTGCGTGCCTCCATGCTCTGTGTGCATGTTGGATGTGTGCACACCTTGCAGAACTGTGTGGTTGGTGCAGCAGGTACAGCAGGACGTGTCTGGCATGCACAGACCATGCCGGTTTTTGATCCAATGTGCAAGCAGAGAGCATGAGTGGCAAAAAGCAGATGACCGCCTGCTCAGGGGAGGTTTTCTGGGTGCACACACACCATCGCTCACTGCACACAGCCTGCAGGTCACCGTCAGGAGCTGACCTGTATGGCTGCTGACCAAAAGACCTGGTGTTGGCTGGTTCCTCTTGTTTGAAACAGGCACCTGCGAGAAAAGATGTGCTTCACCCCTCTCAGTGAGTGCATACAGGAGACCATGGGAGGACGGTGACTCAAACATTTTCATTACCTTGAGGTCAGCAGCATTCGAACACTGTGATTCCACAAGTTCACCTTTTTTCTTACACCTTCGTGCCCTTGGCAAGCACCTTGGAAAGGAATGGAGAGAGGTGTGCACAGAAAGTGCACCGCTACCAAAGAAGGTTTGAAAAGGTTTTCTCTCTTCCTAGGCTTCTCCCGCTTCTTCCTGCCAGGGGATGGTGCCAGATGTCAGATGAGGGATAAGGGGGGCAGCATCTGGTGCTGGGCAGTGGGGGAGAAAGAGAAAGTTCCTGGGAAGATCTGCAGCAGATACAAGGAGTAGAGCTTCCTGGAGACCCTTCAGAGCAGTAGGTTGTAAAGAACTGGCCTGAAACACCCCCAAATGCAGGACAGTCGTCACTCAGTTTCTGGATCAGCGCACTCCAGGGGAAGATGTCTGCTGTCATACGAATAAAATCTCCCCTGGAAGTATTTGTGAATAACAATAGCTTTGTAAACAAACACCTGGCAAGAACAGAACTGAATCAAACACTGATTTAAATACGGTAAGAAACCTGGCAGGGAAAAAAACAATAATTGTATTTTATTGTAGGAATGAAAAACAAAAGAGTAAAAGGCCTTTCTCGTGCTTCAGCTGGGGACTGGAGGAACTGAGCGAGGGGACGAGAGACGTGGGCTGCTTGTGCACAGTGCCCTGGTGTGCCGGTGTGATGGCAGCACCCTGTCAGCACATTGCGAGAAGGAGCTCCATCTTTCTTCCTTACATGGCCTGACAGCTTTTCAGAAGAGATTTATACAGGGACAGATCAGAATATCTGTCATAGCAAGCCACTGTGATCAAGAGAAATGAGGTGCTGAGCCTCTGATCTAGGACCTCACACTTTTTTTTTTTTTTTGAGGGTAGAGGAGCTCTTGTTCCAGGAGAGGGCACAGCCAGGGGAATTCCTTGGCACCCCACAGTGGAGGGTCCCTGGGCTACATTGATGCAAGTCGTCGATGCTGGGATTTATCTGGCTGCCTACAGACACCTGGAGCCTACAGGTCTGCATCCCTGCGGGCTGGCGAGCCTCTCTTTACGATCAAGGCAGAGAAGCTGTCACTTCTAGGGCCCAATTCATCTCCTTCTAAGGCAGGCGTCTGAAACAAGTCAGATGAATTGTGCTGTGGAATTGCTTATTTCTCTTTCCCAACTACAAGGGGAGTCCAGACAGCTCACTTGGCTGAGGATGGTTGTGCTGGAGCTGCTGAAAGCGAGAAGAGGTGAACCCCAGCCCTAGCATGCAGATGGGCCATCCCATAGCAACTGTCCACAGCCCTCTGAGACCATTGCTGGTGTCACAACCTCAGCACCCCTTGGCTAAGGCACAAAGGGCAGTGATGCCCCCAGAGTTGCAGCAGGGCACACATCTCATGGGAAACAGGTGATAGAAAGGGCTGCAAGGGGCTGGGAAGCAGCCAGCTTATGAGGAATTTTAAACGAGTCCACAGCGACAAAATTTAGAGTTTGCCCTGGTGGATTTAAAAGAAAAAGTCAGGGAAAATCTCACCATTAGCATTAGGCAGCAAGGCTGCTTGGCTCGCCCCCTGAGCCACTCTGCTGTGACAAAGCCATGGGAGCATTTTACAAGGACAAAGGTTGCTGGCTGGTGAACAGCAGCATATTAACATGGAAATGACAGCAATCCATGTCAGAGCACGGTGCCCATGCAAATCTTTCTTAGGCTATTAGCAGTATGTGGAACGCGTCCTCGGATGTGGGACACTTCTTTGCAGGCATCGGGTGACTGGCTCACAGCCTCGTAGTGCTGTCTTGACGGTCTCACTGAAGCAAACCCACTATGCTGTATAACTGGGGAAAAAAAACAGAGAGAGAGAGAGAGGAAAAAAAAAAGCAGATTGCAATTCAGACCCCTGCTTTCACAGTGAAGCTCCTCCGGACCCCAGCTGTGGTGTAAATTGAGATTCCACATGAATGCGGTTGCCTGCTTTCACTGCTTGTTGGGTGCAATTTACTTGTCTTATCCGATTTACACTATGCACTCAGGTTTGGAGCATAAATATACAAGCTCATCTAACTATGCAAGCATCTTTTTTTCTGTTTCCCATCTCTCGCACCGGTCCAGATGCATCAAATTCCGAGGAAGTGATTTTAATTTCAGCAATCTTTCTTTTCTCACCCCAAGCCCCACTGATTTCTGTGGTGAGGTTTCCTAACCACATCAGTAGAGTTTTCCATTGGTTTTCATTTTATTCTCTGATTTGAAGGGTTTAAGTGGGAATTAAGTGATACCTAAGCTTTGAGCACACCCCCCCTCCTAGGGGTGAATTTCAGCCTAAATGAAAAGTGCATGTATTAGGAATGTGCTCCCCAAGCATGAATAAATGTTCTCAGGGTGCTCCTTAACAACATACAATCTTCCAAGCTACAGGTTGCTTTACTAGGATTAACAACCTGGAGGAGAAGGATTAATATAATTGCTACTCCTAACCACAACTGCAGAAAATAATCACAATGAAGTTAAATAAAACCTTTGAAACCTGTCAGGTATTTTTTGCACTTTTTTTTTAAGTCCATGCATATCTTGCAGGAAGTCCTCTGATAACAAGCAGGATGTGCAAGCATTCCTGTTCTCCTCCCTACTTTTTAGAGAGTTTTTAATGATCAAGTTTAAAAAATAAAATAAAATAAAAAAGTTCATTGGAAAGCCCTAACTGACCTTTCCACATCTCTGTTTCACAGTTCATTCCATAAGAATAAATTAAGAATTCTGTCAAATCTAAGAAAAAAATCCATCTATCCCCAAATCTTATATTTAACAGTGGTCGAAAATTGTCACTAGTAGAGTAAGCACACGGTAAGTACGTAGCCGTATTTCCCTCATGCTCTTTCTCAGATTCCAGCAATCAGCAGATTAGGAACACCCTGAGCCAGAGGTGTTACCTTTGGCTTTAATGCCCTTGATGGATTTTTTCTTCTGTGAAGGATCCACTGGCATCACAAAATGCATAGCTGAGCTCTAGAACTCTGCTGTGAATGCCAGAAGTTTACATGGGTTCTGAAAGCAAAGTGTGAAACCACACCACGTTTCCATCTCTGGATGTGCTAGCAAAAAAAACACACCTTGACATGCATGTCAAACTGATACGCAGTTTTTGTTTTCTTTGTTTGTTTCTTTTGTTTGCTTCATTTCTGGAATAAGCATGTTCCACAACAAGTTTTGCAAGAAAAGTGTTTCCCTGCAATCAGCAACCCCACTGAAAATAGCTCTCAGTGCTCCTCCAGCCCATCCCCAGAGGGCTGTTGTCAGTGCTGGTACCTGATTAGAGACAGATCAAATGTACTACGAGGTATTTGTCCTGCTGCCCAGAAGCGGAACATCAGGAGCTGCTGGACTGTGACCAGTTGAGTAATGCTCAACAAGTGCATGGAAATAAACATAATCATCTTTATCACGTTAATCGCAGTCCCACAGGAAGCCCTCACCTGGGCTTCAATGAATTCAGAGCCAATTTGTTCATGTTCTCTGATTCTCAGTTGGCCCTGGGCAGACAGAGCCAAATTCTCCCTCATGTAAAAGCCAGCATGAGGCCAGTGCCTTTTACATGGTTCTCCAGATTGTGCTCCTGTCCTTTGTGAGGTGTTGTGATGGTGAGGTCATGTAGGATCTGAGAATCAGCAAAAGCTGCAGAGCACCAAATCTGTGTTTCTTAACCCTTTTCCACCCTACAGAGATTTTTCTTCCCCCTCTGGCTGTCAAGATCCTCTGCTTGTTACATAGAAAAAAAAACAAAAAACATTCACTTACGTATGGGGGTTTTCAACACCAAACCTTTCTGCTCCACAAAATTTATCTTAGCATCTACATCCACAGAAACCGCAGTGGAAAGTCAAGCCTGCTGGCTTCAAGAGGAAGAATAAACACCCATTTATGTATCAAGCAGTACGGGCTCTTTAAAACCTCCCCAGTGCCAGAGCCAGTCTCTCTCTTTCCTTGCTCACATTCGTGCATGTTTTCCAAGACTCTGAGCTTCTAGCCTGAATTGTTTTTGAAGCTGAACCTGTTGCACCTCTCCAGGTCAGATCCTGGTCCATTTCTTGCTCTT